AGAAGCAGGAATTATAACCAGAATACTACAAGCCCCACCTCCCAGGGTCCAAAGATTTTCTGACATAAAAAAAAATAAAAGCTGCAAGAAGTCTCATATATTCATTTACTTCCCCTGATTTAAAGGGCAATATGCCAATAGGCAATAGGCATTGTTAAGCACAAAGGGAAGATAATACAGGCGGCAAACCATAGAAAATGATGGAACAATCTTTTATTTTTCTTTCATTTTCCACCTAAAAAGCTGATGTTGCTCCCAGCCCGCACAAAAAAATTAAATTCCTTTGCCTGCAATCTGCATTCATTTATTCCAAGACCTGATTGGTCCATCTACCTTTTCCCCTTGCACTCGTCATCTTTCTTTGCAGTCCCAAATGATATACAAGATAAGAGTGAGATTCGGATCGGTTATGTCATTTATAGTTCCGGGTTCAGGAATATAGTAAGAAATTTTTGTAGAAAGACCCAAATGTAATTATTTTAGTTAAACTCAGCTTACCGACGACGTTTGTGATTAATTATCCGATATTTTCTATATAACAGCAGTTCAATTAATTATCAGACTACTCAGATTCTTTTATTTTACATCAAAGCCTGAACCAGAAACCAAAAACATAGACAGTAATATTTAAATTTGTCATATTACACTTTCAGTACCTCTGCAATCAGTGTACATTAATTCCGAATTTGCCCGTTGATGGAGACTGAAACTGAGAGAGGCGGTGCATGCATGTGGAAAAAGGTCCCTTATGATTTTGTCCCCACCTAATATCATTCCCTGTTATGCTATAGTTACGAGCATGTCCAGGCCACCAGCCTCTGAACTATTAGGAGTATTAAAACAAGATTTACAATTCAGCAGAAGAAAAGAAAAGCCATGAGTAGATTTCGAAAAAAGGTGCACCCAACAATATTTTTTCATTTAGTCAATGCATGGAAACCACTTCAAATGCTCTTCATCACTCATTTCCACACAAGTCAAGAGAACTAAGTCCACAACACTACACAAATGAAATCTCACTGTAACCATTTGCAGAAATCAGTGCCACTTACATTAATTTCTATAACATATGTACACATATATGATATATATGTATGCATATATCATACAATACAGAGGAGAGTGCCCTCATCCCTTCTTTCATATATAGAACAACCCAGAATCTTTTAGTCATCCATAAATTTATTTCAATTGTTTATTTCTTCATTACTGGTCAAGGTAGTATATGAAAGTTTCAGTAGCAGCTAATTTTCACCAACAGCAAATTCTTCATCCAGAAGCTGAAATCAGTTTTCCCTTTTCTGGTTTGTGAACATATTTCTAAGTACCTGCAATTGGCCTTTGTCGGATCAGTCACATACAAGTACAATGACAGTCATCAACATTAACATAACTTCTGCAACTTGACAAAGCTAGCGCTTATATGTTTCCATCGTCTCAGGCCTATCAATTAGGACAATCTTATTAACAGAAAACTCGACTGAGCACTTGAAAAACTTAATACATTTTCAATCGGAAACTATTTCCACAGCACAAATATGATCAGTAAAGCTACTGTTAATGCTAAGAATATGCACTTTAATGCCGAGAATTTGTGAATATGATAGCTTACTGGCGGTGCGGCGTCGTTCCTGGCTTGACGTGACTCCTCCGCCTCGGCGGCGAGTTGGTGTAGCTTTTGCCGGCGAATTTGCAAAAACAGGTCCTGTAACTCTAGGGGACGTCAAAATCAGCCCATATGTTCTCAAAAATTCTAATTTCAGTCCATATATTATAAAGAGAAAATTTCGCGCGATCTCTAAAACCCTACGCGCACAAATTCATACCTATAAGACTGTAATTGATTTGATACGCATTATTTTCATGTGTCTACTCTTCGCCATTGTTGTCTTTTGCGAATCAATCGAAGGAACTTTGAAATTCTGAAACATGGACATTGAGCAGAAGCAAGCGGAGCATATACACTACTTCGTGAAGAAGGCGTCGAGCCTCAAGGGCTCAGCTCTGTCAAACGTCGTCGTTGAGGCCACTTTCCACCCTTTCTTATTCGCTTTCTCCGAGATTCTATCCGTTCCTAACGTACTCGAGGTGTGCTGTAGCCTGTAATTAGGTTTGCATTTTTATTTCTTTGGATTTTTTTTTATCTGGTCGCCGTCTCGTTTTGAGGGTTTCAGCCTTAATATTTCTGATTCGTCGCAATGAGCAAAACTGAGCTGAAACCGTGCAATTTGGTGTGGTTTAGTTTGATTATTTTAGTCGAGGAAATTTTTGGTTTGGTTTTGGTCTGATTTTTTATACGGTGAGGTGCATGTATTTTTTTACAAGTTCCGGTTTGGTCCTGTTTGGCACGAACACAACCCAAATGCATAGCAAAATCGAAAAACTGAACAGTAAAATTCGTTTTGGTTATTTTTAGTGTAGGTAATTTTGGTTCGGTTCTGGTTTTGTCTGTTTATGTGTTGAGGTGTGGTTTTGTAGGTGTGATTTTCATACTGTTGCTCACCACTACTGATTTGTGCTTATGTTTGATTTACAGTAAACTTGAGTCATTGCTTGTAACCATCTTTTTTTCCCCGCATTGTCTTAAATTTTGGAATTGATTGCAGCTTGAAGGAACTGAGAACAGTTCATTACTTGAGTTGCTTCGCATATTTGCACATGGAACATGGAGTGAATATAAGAGTAAGCATTCATCTACTCAGTAGTTTTTTATACCTGTTATGGTTTTGTTTTTTTGTTGATCTTCTCGGCTTCATGCTATATTTATTATGCACCTTTGTGACTTGTTACTTTTCCTTGAAAATACTACATTGCTCTAGGTTTGTTTGTATTAGAGGTTAGATCATAAATTCTTATTGCATTTGCATCATTTTCAATAATCAATGAGCTTCTCATGGATTTCATTCGAACAGAGATATATAATGATAGTATAATTTATCAGCTTTTTATGCATTTCATTGTTGGGGGTGCTAGTTTGCATCCGCAAAATTATCACTGTCCTTTGTTGACTTGGATTTCTTTCTATACAGAGTCTAGTTTTAGAAACCAAGGAGCCATACCTCGTCATTAAATTTTGATATTAGAAATTTCTGAGTGGAGAGAAAATTGTCATATTTTGCGTTGATATTTTATCTTGATTTGGAACTTCAGATAAATCGACTGGAGACTGAATTATAGATTGAAGAAGAGCAGTAACAACGCATTTGACATCAAATTGTAGGTAGAATCATAGAGCATGAGAATGTGGCCTGTATAATGTCGAGTGCCCCTTTATGAAATTCACTGTTTTCAGTTTATGAGTAAAGCAACCTGATGATTTGTGCTGTGATGCAGGTGTTGCGAGTCATCTTCCACAATTGATTCCCGATCAAGTTCTCAAATTGAAGCAGCTGACTGTGCTCACTCTGGCTGAGACAAACAAGGTAGTTTTTTTATGTATCTTTGTAAATTGACTTGGATTAGTTGAAATGCTTTTTTCAAATTTTTCTATAAAGATGTATAGTTACATACTGCAACAGTGAATGATACTTATGTTGGAAAAAAGATGCGTAATTGGTCTAATTTGTCCCTTATGTGTTTAACTGTTACTTATATTATAAGACAATTGTGAATTTTTCTATGGAACATATCAGGTTCTCTGTTTCAATATACCTTTGGATCTGGTCTATATTCGTTGCTTATTGTCGTATTTCTGCATTTCTTTTTTTTTTAATCACGATTTTTTTAAGAGTCCATAGAACTACTTATTTCTCTTTTCCATCTCTCCTCACAAAATTTGCAAATGTCTTGAGACTTGACTGTTGGCGATTATATGGCCTTCACTAGGTATTGCCATATGATACACTGATGAAGGAGATAGATGTTAACAATGTACGTGAATTGGAAGATTTTCTGATTAACGACTGCATATATGTGGTAAGTTTCCGCAATTTGTTCCTACCCAAATAAATAAAGCCCAGTGCTGTTTTTCTTTCCGCTGAACTTGCACTATGAGAAAATAGTATTGAATGTGTTGCTCATTCTCTGATCTTTTTTTTTTTTTTCTAAATCATTGAATAAATATTCAGCGTAAAGTTCATAAGGGTGCTTACTGAAGAAATTCTGACAATTAGTGCTTTGGTTTATTACTGATATTGTGAACAGGGGATTATCAGAGGAAAGCTGGACCAGTTCCGCAGATGCCTTGAGGTCTACCTTATACTTATTTTGACTAGTTTTTGTCTTCTGGCTACCTAGTTGCTTATGATCATACCTTCAGTTGAGAGCTAATTTAATTGTTTTCCGATTAACTTGTAGGTGCACTTTGCTGCAGGAAGGGATCTTAAGCCAAGACATTTAGTTAGCATGATTCAAACTCTAGCAAACTGGTAAATCATCTCTTGCCTAGTAGAATTGAATCATGTTCATTTTATTGTTACTAGGTTCTTAACCTTTCAATTGACATTTTTCTAATATCCTAATATCAAGGGACTTTATTTTTTCCTATGGAGGTCCTAAAATTCAACCAGACAATAAGCACTGAGAGAAAAGTGGCACAAGTTTTTAAAGAAAAAGAAAAAGAGAAAATAAAAAACACTGCACGCTTTATGTTTTTGTTACTTAATTGATTTTGGTATTCATTCCTATCTTTGCTTGTTCATTGAGCCACATGTACTTCTCCTAAATTGTGTATACTTGGTCTTAACCATACCTTTGCAGGCTATCTACATCAGAAAGCCTCCTTGGCTCAATCCAAGAGAAGATAAAATTGGCAGATACTATGAATGAAATTGACAAGAAGCACAAGAAGGAAGTTGAGGAAAAAGTGGATGAAGTGAAGAAAACACTATCTTTGAAGGTCAGTTTATTTTCCTTGCATGTGTTCATGCGGTCAGTTGTGGAGGATTTTCTTGTTGATTTTACTACCTTTTGCCTCTTTCCAATTCCAGTAGATTTCTCAATAGACCAAATAGTTGGATGTATCTTTGACACATGAAATGTAAATTGTTTATTACATAGAATCCATATATTAGATTTTGGTTTATGTTGGACTTTATTGCCTTGATTCCCTTTATTTCTGGTTCACAAGAGCAAATATATAGATGTTTTGGATATATATATTGCTAGATGTGTCTTACATTGTGGCAAAGTTTACAAATTAGCAGGCCAATGCCAAGTACAGAGGGTACTATGAGGAACTCTATTTTGAGCATGACAGAGTGATGGGCTCTGAGGAAAACCGTAGTATCCGATACAAAAGGTAGCACTCGACTTTTCTCCTTCTATTCTCTCTGCTGTTTTAAAATTTTGATGTGCTATAATGTGGGTGCTGGTGTGATCTGCCATTATTTTCATTTTAGGCATCTTTCGTTTACTATAAGCATGTACTACATGTTCTTTTTCTTAATGAATTGAGGAAAGATTGCAGTCGAGTCTTACTACCAGAAATTTCAACTGTAATTAATAGAGGTAAACTAACATTTTAGTTTCTTAAAGAAAAACGTGGCTGTCATACTTGAAGGGCTTTACTTGTAGTTTCAAAATATTATTGGTCATTTTGTATTTGTGTTTGAGTTTCTTATTTGATTTTCCCTATGTTTTCTGTTTTATTATGAAATAAATAAGAACATATTTCATGTCAAATCCACGGTGTAGCTTTTGTAATCATCCCTAAATTCTGAGTGAGCCGAATAATATTAATATGCAGGAGACGTCACCCCATGGGTTGAGGAGTTGCTGTCAAAGAGCTACTGGGAAAGTTTAACTCGTAGTTTTTTGATCAACAAAGATGGAGATAGCTGCTTTTGAAGATGGTCGATTTCTATCCAATAGAAGGTGTCCAACTACATCGTACATACATTTTTAGTTAGACCTTAAAACGTGACAAACAGTTGCTCATATGGCCTCTGTAAATTTTCTTTTTAATTGCTGAATTGACACCTTTTGCTTCTGGCTGAAGCTAATACTGACTATCGATACCATATTAACCTTCTGACAGACATCTCGAAAAAAAAAATAAAAAAATATCGTGCACCATTTTTGCCATTGTGTGCTACTAACATCATCTTCTTTTTCATCTTTTGGGCTTTGCAAATGTCACTTCTTATGCCACAAAATAACAAATTAGGTGAGGTTTTTATAACCTGCTTTTATCTCATTCTTTTATGGGTTGAGCAACTTGTGTATTATGGTATAATCACTTAATAAGGAGAGCTTAATGTAGTAGTCCCTAATATCTCTTATCTAAAATTAAACCAGAGTCGATCAAATAATCAAATGCATGTGACAACAGTCAATATATACCACAATCCAAGATCCAATTATATATCTCACTAAAAAAAAAAATAATAATTCATCCACACCTTATTTTGAAGATCCAACATTTAACATATACATATGATCAAGACGAACCACGGCCTCGCTTAGTCACCCGGGTTGGCCCAGGAACACCTGACCCGACCAGGTGGGGAAAGTTGACCCGGGCCCGCGTGCCATGAAGCTGGAACGCGGCTCGATCGTAAGCCAGAGCCGCATCCTCAGGCGTCTCATAAGTCCCGAGCCACATTCTCGACCCCTTCTTTTCCGGGTCCCTTATCTCGGCTGCAAATTTCCCCCACGGCCGCCGCCTCACTCCTCTGTACCGCCGCCACTCCACCGGCCGTGTTCCGGCAGATGTTGCCGGAATTTCTGGCCATCCGGCGGAATGGTACTCGTCGCTACACATTAGCAACTCCTCCACCATTTGCAGCGACGATCGATCTACTTCATTAGATACGGTTTTTTGATCCAACGTAAAATCCGGCGGGAAAATATAGGTGTCGCTGAGAAGATAATTTTCTACAGATTGTAGCAAGGAGAAATCAAATTCTGATGGATTTTGTGATTCCATTAATTGTTAATAAAAAAGTAAAAATGTAGGGGGGAAATTGATGCAAAATTGAATTCGATTAGTTGTTGAACAATTTGTGATGCAGTGTTTTTCTTGCCCTGTTTTTTTTATAGTCGGCAAGGATAAGTGCAAGAATTTGTAGCCATGATATTTCTGTGAAGATTCATTAATGTTCAAGTGGGAATCCAGAAATGAACATTTTATATATAGTTAAAAGTTCAAATTTTTAGTCTCAGTTGATCAATATTTTATGAGTTTGTTGATCAATTATGTTATGCATTGTAGATTTGTAGGTACATTCATGAAAATATTTCTTAAAGTATTGCATGAGGAATAAATTATATTTTGTTGGATTTGATAAACGTGACACTAAAGGAAGACACCTGCGGAGTTTCTTAAATATGTCTAAAATTGGATTACAAAAAATTGATTTTCTATATAAGATTAGGTGTACTCCTAAAGGCTAAAACATAATGCTCGGAGGTAACTGCTTACAAAGAGATTAGTAGCCCCGACAACGAATTATTATATACTGAAAGCAGTTTAATTTGAACAAATTCAGAAGGTTAATTTAAATAGTCAACCCTTTTTTGGCATTTTATTTCAAAATATTATATTATTGATAGTCATCAGATTGGTCGGTAGGCGCCTTTTATGTTCACTGTATAATGCAAGAATTGATTATAGTAATTTTATATCATCCACTTTGTTGCTACAGGGTTTCGAAATTGTAATTACAAACATTCAATTCACTAGAATAGGGCAAGTTGTAGGAAGGCTACCTAATTGTTACGCATGCACATTTTTCCAATAAATTTATATATTTTAAATTTGAAATATCATATTTAAAAATATATATATATAAATAAAAGTTCAACATTTCATAATATAATTACATTTTTATTAGAAATGAATGTTTGGACACCTTAATACAGCATTTGTGTTAAAACTATTGACAAATGGATGAGAAGTACTTGTAATATTTGTACGAGTAATTGATTAGATGCCTTAGAAAAATCAATTCTAAAGTTAGTTTATATATGAAAACCAAATTAAGGGAGAAATCAAGTAAATAAAAATGGAGCTAATTTAGTTGATATGGTTTTTTCATTTTTTTTATTTATTTTTTATTTCTTTGTGCGTGTGAAATAATCAAATAAGCACTTTGCAGTAGTTTGTTTCACCGTTTTGGCTGCTTCTAAAAATGGAAGCTTGTGATGATCAATTGTAATAACTGTAGCATGGGCTTACATTCATTTTAAACAAACAGGTGATATATGCATTCCGATTATTCTTTTTTGCACAAATTCTTGTATGAGTCGGACTAACTGTTAGGCGGGTCGACCCGTCAACTTTTTCGAATAAAATGCATATTAATACTATAAAATGTCAAAATATATTAATATAAAATGTCAAAATTTAATTTATTTTATTTTTTAGAGTTAATGAATTTTCCCTCACAAAATATGCATGGACTAATTATAAATTATAAATGTGTGCATGAGAAAAATGAAAGTCCATTTTTTTTTTTTTACATTTGTTGAATTTATGTTGTTTTGCATGCACTAAGGACTTTTAAGGGTCAAATATGGGTTATGTCAATTATGCTACGAGTGTTTTGCGGCTGGGATGTGAGTTGAGAGAATATAAAATGGTTAGGTAATAATATTGTTTTGTGTTTTGAAATGTATTTAAGACAAGATCATTAGTAATTTATTAGTATAACCATATATATTAAAATGGACACAGAATGAATAAACTAATCACACGTTTTAGTTAGCAATAAATTATAGCCTTTGCTTCTTGATTATTGTACTTAGGGTTGTAAACGAATCGAATCAAAGCGAATACTAAGATACTCGATTCGGATTCGTTAAAATATTCGAGGCTTCGAATTCGTATTCGATTAGTTAACGAACTCATTTTTTTATTCGTATTCGATTCGTTTAGAATATTTGAATATGTTTGATTCGATTCGAAATTCGTTTTCAGAAAAATATTATAATTAAAAAAAAATTATAATTTTTATTTTTCCATATATTTTTAGAGAAAATTGTTAATTAAGGATATTTTTACTTTTTATGTCATAAAAATATTAGGAATATGACAATGTATATATACATATATATTATAAACAAAATGTATACTTTATATAATTTATAAAATTTATATAATTATTGTTAACGAATCGAATATTCGAATTTCGAATCGAATATCTATAAATTCAAATTCAGATTCGTTTAACTTTCGAATATAAAATGTTATTCGTATTCGAATTCGAATTCAAATATTTCGAATTCGAATCACGAATATCGAATTCGAACTCGAATCGAATAAAAAAATTTGATTTGTTTAGAAGCCTAATTGTACTCATTAGGAAATCTAGTGATCTACTAAAAAAATTCTCATTCACACACCAGAAGTTCTTGAATAAAATAATTGTTGGAAATTTTAACTTTATGCGAAAACCGCTTTACCCAGGAGCATTCATATCGAATAATTGAGAATCAAACCGAATAAAAACGGAAGCGTACCGTACTTCATGAAGTCATTTGCTTGATAATTCTCGTGTGTTGTGTTCTTCCAAACGATCTTGTTGGACTGGTATGGTCTTCCAAACGATCGAACCTTATAGCAGATTTTGATCTGTAGTGTTTGTATTGGATATATGATTTTGTTATATATCCTTATTCTGAAGTGAGAAGGTGAGTGCTTTTAAAGGGAGAAAGCACCCCTTCATAAATCTGCTCGTGTCTTTTCGTCGTTTGGGGCCATAACCAACTAAATAAGAAATATTGATTTTCAGTTCGGTCCCTCAACAAACAGAAATCACATAATGGTATCTACACTTTTAAATCCATAACAATTTGATACTCTCTTTATTCAAAATTACAAATTAATAGATCACTTTAATTGAATAATATTATGACAACTATACACATTTAATTTACATATGTTGTCCAATAAAATATTTCTAACAATAATATGTATAAGCATTCTTAATTTGATTTTCAAAATATAATGTTTTCACATGTTTGGTGAAAAAAATGATTCTTTTGTTGACAAAAAAGCTGGGAGTCGAAGAAGCAATGTAACTCGATCATTCTCAAACGGGCTGCAATCTTTTTTCTATCTGTGAAGATCCCACTTTATCAGCTTGTTATATTTGTGTACACTTTATTATAAATTCAATGACAATGTACTTTATTTTACAAGTTAATGTTGATTGTGTTACCAACTAAGTTACCATTTGTACTTGCAGAACTATTGGCTCTGTTTATGGCTGTTGTTGTATTTATTTGCAGCTACATTTTTCTCTGTGTTGTGCAAATTGTTCAAATTTTTATGTGATGTGAAGAATGCTTTATCAACTTATCAAGCTCATCTTTTCTTTATCGTTCACTCGTGTAGTCATTACTGTTATCCTTTAAGTATATCCGTAACTTGTAATCGACGGCTTGAGAAGTCGGTAACTAACAAAACATCAATCTGGAAAAGTAGGGTAGAAAAGCAGCTAGAATATCATCATTATATATTTCATTAAACACCATGACAAAAAGTAGTTTTGTCAAGAACATGTGTACTTTATTCCTCAATGTAATAATTTATTCAAACAAAGATGACAATATATCTGTAGATTATCATCATCACTCCATTTTGTTGTTTGTGGCTTTCCTTGTGCTTCTTAGTTGATCCTGCCATGAGAAGAAAAACAAGAATCAAATCTAACAAGATCTTTCATAGTTTTTCATATGTATCAACTCGTCTCGAATTTTATTTTCTTTTTTTTTTAAAAAAAAAATGAGAATACTGATTAGTTTATTAATAAACTCACTTGTCACAATCAACGGTACGCGACACGGGAATATCCAGCTGGACCCCACAACTAGTCGGCAAACTCTGGGCAGCCGAGTCCTTGAGGTCATCAATCCGAATTGCGGCTGTCTTAACACAGCTGCAACAGGCCCGTTTATCAGCCGTTGTTTGGGCCAAACCCTTGACGGTCTTCACGCCAGCACAGCACCCCGGTGGCGGGCTGTCTGCATGTCCAGTCAGAAAACTGATGCATGGGGCCAGGGCAGCGTCCACCTGGCCACAGGTCACGGCCCAGCCAGGTTGCACTGCCAATGACAAGACAGCAAGAATGACGATAACGGGCAAAACGCGCTTCATTTTCTTTTTATGAAGAATTGGACTTAGTGGGAGCTGCTTGGAATTGAATTTTGAAGTGCAAAATGTACTCTTTTTATTCTTTTAAGTATATATCTTTTTAAGTAATATGTTTTGGTGCTTGTTCCAATGGGTTCTGGGGTGCGTATTTATAGGGTATAGGGGATATGGGCTTTCTGTTTTGGTATTTTGGCTGTTTTTTTCTTTTGTGATGTGTGCTACATTGCTTGAGATAGAAAGGATGTAACTGTTGTTATCACTTGACAGCTTTTTTTCCTTTTTCCCAGATTGAGTATTGTGCAAGGTATGATCATAAAACTTCTCATACTTGGCCTAAGTTTCCAACAAATCGGTTATTTTCAACATCAACAGTAGTATTACCAATTACTATATAAATTCACCCTTGTTAAATACGAAACTATGTTCTGTAATTGTCACATTAAAGGGGTAAAGGCAATGAGTAGTTGCAGAATTACCAATTTTGACACACATATTGTCAAGATGGGGTTTGTAGTTTTAAGATTCAACTTTGGGAGCTCTCTGTTTGCAATTAACTTCGGGACATTTTCGCCACAGTATAATAATAAATTTCAATAAGGGAACTTGGAAGAAAAAAATCAAAAATATGTAACTAGATGTCAATGTATGAAGGAATACCCATCAAGTCTTTGTTTTACCTGGAAAATTTTGTTCAAAAAATAAAATTCTGAAACGAACCTTTCCACTGGCAAATACTCAGACATGTACCAACTACTATAAGCTAGGCTGTTGAACAAAGAAGAGATCCTCAAGATAATAACATGCCTCAAACTTCCAAATTGTGAATTAATATCACATCATATAAAATAAAATCGGTTTCACTCCTAATAAGTAAAAAAAAAAATCATAAAAACGAAATAGATAATAAACCCACCAGGGGGTCTGTCTCATCACTAGAGAACATAATTCTTAGTCCCACAAAACAAAAACCCCGACCAAAAGAAGACTATCATCAATCAAGTTTAATCAACTTCCTCCATCTTGCTGCCCTCAGCATCAGCATCAGCTTCCTCCAGCGCCGGCATGTCAGCATCACCCTCACCGGCATCATCATCAATGCTCAGTCCAAGCTTCAACATCCTATGAATTCTGTTGCCAAACGTGCTAGGCTCATCCAGGCTAAAGCCCGAAGTAAGTAGGGCAGTCTCAAACAGCAACAGCACCAAATCCTTAACAGACTTGTCGTTTTTATCAGCATCAGCCCTCTTCCTCAGCTCCTCCATGATAGGATTCTCAGGATTGATCTCCATAGTCTTCTTGCTCGACATGTAGCCAGCCATGCTTGAGTCTCTCAAAGCTTGAGCCTTCATGATCCTCTCCATGTTGGCAGTCCACCCGTACTCTCCAGTAACCAGACAGCAAGGCGAGTCGACAACTCGGTCAGACACAACAACCTTCTCGACCTTATCTCCAAGAACATCCTTAATCACCTTGCACAGACCCTCAAACTTCTCCTTCAATTCCTCCTTTTTCTTCTTCTCATCCTCACTCTCGTCGAGCTTCAGACCCTCCTTAGTGGCTGACACGAGCTTCTTCCCCTCAAACTCCTTGAGCTGGCCCACAGCGTACTCATCAATGGCATCCACCATGAACAGGACCTCATAGCCCTTCTTCTTAAGACGCTCAAGGAAGGGAGAGTTCTCGACTGCCTTCTTGCTCTCACCAGTAATATAGTAAATGTCATTCTGACCCTCCTTCATCCTCGTCACGTAATCCTTGAGGCTCGTCAACTCATCGCCACTCTTGGTCGAGTGGTACCTCAGCAGCTCAGCAATCTTCGACTTGTTCTGTGAGTCCTCGTGGATGCCGAGCTTCAGGTTCTTGGAGAAAGCTTCGTAGAACTTGTTGTAGTCCTCCTTGTTCTCAGCAATCTCGAAAAAGAGCTCGATGCACTTCTTGACCAGGTTCTTGCGGATCACCTTCAAAATCTTGTTCTGCTGGAGCATCTCACGGGAAATGTTGAGGGGAAGATCCTCAGAGTCAACTATACCCTTGACAAAGCCAAGATACTCAGGGATGAGCTCCTCACAGTTGTCCATAATGAAAACCCGGCGGACGTACAGCTTGATGTTGTTGGGCTTCTTTCGGCCATCAAAGAGGTCAAATGGGGCCCGCTTAGGGACAAACAGAATGGCCTTGAACTCAAGTTGGCCCTCAACTGAAAAATGTTTCACAGCCAAGTGCTCCTCCCAGTCATTGGTCAGGGACTTGTAGAAGGCCGAGTACTCCTCCTTGGAGATCTCCTCAGGCTTCCTCATCCAAATGGGCTTCTGCTTGTTCACCAAATCCCACTCATGGGACACCTCCTTGATCTTCTTCTTCTTCTTCTCAGCCTTCTCCTTGTCCTCATCCACCTCCTCTACCTTTCCCTCCTCATCCTTCTTTTCCTCATCCTCATCCTCGTCATCTGATATTTCCTTCTCAGTAGTCTTCTCAATCCAGAGGGAGATGGGATAGCTGATGAACTCGGAATGCTTCTTGACGAGGTCCTTGAGACGGCGCTCCTCAAGGTACTCGAGCTGGTCCTCCTTGAGGTGGAGGGTGATCTTTGTGCCTCGGCCAAGGGGCTCGCCAGAGGTGTCCCTTGTGACGGTGAACGAGCCTCCAGCCTGAGACTCCCAAACGTACTGCTCATCATCATTGTGCTTGGTGGTGACAATCACCTTTTCAGCTACAAGGTACGCAGAGTAGAAACCGACGCCAAATTGACCAATCATGCTGACATCAGCACCAGCAGCAAGGGCCTCCATAAACTCCTTGGTCCCGGACCGCGCAATTGTGCCGAGGTTGTTCACAAGGTCTGCAACAAGATAACTCATGAGTCCCCAGAATGAACTATAATAGTAGGTGAAAAGGTAATTTAGTGGAATATTGGATACTAACCAGCCTTGGTCATGCCGATGCCACTGTCAACAATGGTCAGGGTGTTGTTGGTCTTGTCGGGGATGATGTGGATGAAAAGCTCTGGTTGTGCATCAAGCTTGCTCTTGTCTGTCAAGCTCTCAAAGCGGATCTTGTCTAGAGCCTGAACACATCATTCCATAATCAGTAAGATAATTCATAGAGCTACTCAAGAAACAGCAGGGACAAACAATATTAGAAAACACAGAACAGGATGTGTATGTATTAGGTATCAGAGGCCAATAGACAGTCACAAACACAAAGAAAAACACGCATGCACATCAACCCAGGTCCAGAATTACCATACTTAGGAGTCCCATGACCACCATGAACACAGACAAGTGCATCTAAAAACCACCACTCTATGAGAACCATTTATAGTCCTCCGCCACATTTCATCAACAAACCATCATGATAATCCCTATAGACATTCTACTTTCTAGCATCATATCAGCTGTGCCCATACGCTATAAACCATAGATGAAAGTCATCATTTATAGTCCTCCATCACATTCCATCAACAAACCATCGGCTAAATTCCTATAGACGTTCTAACATCATATCAACTGTGTCCAGAAGCTAAAATCACAAATCAAAGTATATAATTAGCAAGTATGCGCTCTGAAAGCATCATTTCTAGTTTCCATCAACAAACCATCAACCAGTTCCTATAGATATTCTAGCATCATTATCAATTGAGCCCAGAAGCTAAAAGTCACAAATCAATGTACACATCACCCTATTGAACACTCAGAAGCAGCTTCAACATAAGCATACTTGCATAAAAATGCATTAAAACGAAGCTAGCAACCCAAAGCCACACATCAAACATCAAAAAAGCATACATTACACGTACTAACCAACAGCAATCAGAACTACACATGGTAAAAGCTAACTAGAGATGAGACAAAATAGAAACTCACGTCAGATGAATTGCTGATCAATTCACGGAGAAAGATCTCCTTGTTGCTGTAAAACGTGTTGATGATGAGACTCAGCAACTGATTGATCTCAGCCTGGAAAGCAAACGTCTCTGTATCCGCCATCTCTTCAGATTTTTTCTTTCGTGATTCGCAATTTCAAAGAGGCGAAATGTAGGGTTTGAATGAGTTGGGATGCTGTGATGGGAGATCTCAGTTTATATAGGCTGTATGCTTTTAGGGTTTCTCGATCCTTCTAGGATATTCATTTTCCTTTTGTTTTTCTTCTTTTATTCGGTTTTCTTTCATGTTATTAACGTTTTACAGAGTTTGGTGGGAGAAAGCGTGTAACTCGGGCATGGTATTGTTCTACTTTAAATTAGGAATCCTATTAGCTAAACTATACAAAATTTGCCCAACAATTCTATGATCATTTGCTTGGGAATAAAATAAATGATGAGTGATAATTATCATACCTAATGCAGTTCACCTTATATTAAAATTTCAATTTTATTAGTATTTGTGTTCAGCTCAATCAATTTTAGTATTAATATTTACCTTCTCATTCAATTAAATTTGATTTTCCTACTAAATCGATTTAAGTACCAAGATTGCCATTTCATATTATAAAATTTCAATCTAAAATCGATAATTAAAATGGAAGTTTGTAATAAATTTAAAAGCAGAGTTAATACATAGTGATTACAAAATTAGGAGTTGGATAATTAATAATTTTTTATAGTAGCACTAGTTAAAAATGCTCTCAACATTCAATTACATGTAATCTAATTTGAATGATATTGGTTGATATGTTACTAGTGTTTTGTTAACCATACATGTTACATAAGGGCTGCTCGTTTGGTCAAAATCAAACTGAGCTTATCAAAATTTTGGTTAATTGAATATTCAGTTGATCGATTATAAGAACCGAAAATCGAATTGAAGTTTATGGTTCAGTTCGATTTTTAACCAAAAATCCAGCGATCGGTTTTGTTATCGATTAATTGCAGTAAATAATTAATCTTCTCGATAAATTCTGAATTTTTAACCGAACAAAAAAGATTTATCGAAACAAAAAAAAAAAAAAAATTTATCACATTATGCAAATTATTCCAAGATTCGATTTGAACTACAATCCACTAGCTCAGATCGACTCGTCGTCTCCGATGACTTGCAAAACCCTGAAAGGGGTCCCGACAGCAAAGGCTTCGACGCTCAATTCAGCCTGTATGCAATAAATAATAAAAACAGTAGTGTATAAGTCTATGCGTATGTGTGTTGCGTACAAATCAAAAACTCGACACCTTTTTATAGTTAGGGTTGCTTGCTGGTCAAGAGACTTTTGGTATGATAAGAAGTCCTAATGTATCTTCCATGTTAACTAACTAGATCATTATATATCCTTTAGTGTCCTTGAGGATATACACTTCCCATCTATAAGGGATTCTGTTTGTGCAAGTTGTATGACTTCTAAGTCTCCAGATCACTCTTTCTTGATTTTGATACCTTCCTACCTCAGGTCGAGATCGACCCAAAGTATGTCGAGGCAGACTTTCGGTCCAGGTATGTCGAGGTCAACTTCCTGACTTCGACACTATGAGGTCGAGGTCAGAGGTCTCTCCGCGTCCGGGCTACGTGTCCTTCTAATCACCATACCATATGAAGTCAATCCTTGAACACTCTAGACCAACGCATCAGTCTGAGCTCTCTGAATCGTTCAATTCTGAGCTAACGCCTCTTAGCGGTTCACCATTGCTGTTCTAGATGTTATATCAACAAACTTGTTTAGTATTCTCAATAAATTTCAAATTCTCATATAAATAAGATCTTAAACTCGAACCATGTCTTGGACTACGACGAAGTCGATTCTAAGTACAAATTAATGATTGAGCCATTTTAGAAGCCATTGAAACTCGAGAATCATCAATTATTGAAACAAATCATGTTTTTATAACTTATATGTATAAATAAAGAAAAATAACACACACACATACATACACACTCAGTTTAGTTTCTGTCTAAATCGACTTTTAGATTTCGATTGATTCGACTCGATTAAGCGAATTTTGTTCACACTTGGGTTACATAAATCGGACGTAATCAAATCGACGAGCCTAAATAATGGACCATCCACAGGTCATCGAAGCCTACTATCTGACAAAGATGCAGGATGGGCCGGCCCGTTTAGGTCCTTTACCAAACGGACCTTCAAATGCCCAATCCTCCTCTTTGAGCAGCACTTGGCCTAATCGTGTCACCAGAAGCGATTTCAGTGATGAGCTGTGAGGTAGCTTCCAGACATATTTTGAGCTTCTGAGGTTAGTGTAATCATTCGTTTAGTTTAACACGATGAATCCTTAAACCCGTTTTATCAATTTCTTCTTGTAATTTGTAGTCGGGGGGAAATTTCTGCTCAAATTTGTAGATCATACCACGATGCCAGCTCTTGGATTTGATTCAATGCATGTGGCATGTTTGTAGTTGTTCTTTATTTTCTACGCACATCTTTAATCGATGCATAAAAAATGAGTCTTTTTTACCTGATAATGCTGCTGGAAGTTGTTTTCCCAATTTTGTAGTTCAAATGAATGATTCTTTTTATTGCTTTTGCTGTAGTTCAAATGAATCATGGATCGTTGGAGTGGGGTTTTGAAAATCCAGCTTAATCCAAACAGTGGTAGTTTCTACCGAGTTGCGGCATCCCTTGGTCTCTCTTCATCTCCCAAAAACCTTGCCGTAAGTGTAGTTCGCTCACGGGCTTTCCTTTAAAAAAAAAAAAATGAGAAATGAATAATGGAGCAGTTAACTGTGCTCTATTTGTTAGGTACCCTCAAGAAACGCTATATTTTTCAGTGGCGATCGGGTGGAGGGGACGGGCAATCCAGTGATCGAGAGATTATCCGATCTTAAGACGATTGCCGAAGTATTGGTGTCGAAATTCGGTGGAGCTGTTAATGCTTTTGTTGTGGAAGCTTCTGTTTTCAACGGACCTTTTGCTGTTTACAAGAATTTTGTGCCGTCTGTGAATGATCATGGGGAGCCGGAATCTTATGATGCTACTGGCTTCCCAGCCTCGACCTCATTAGTCCTGCTATTGTCGAAGTTTCTTGCAGAGGTAACATTTTCCCGGCAGCTTATATATTTTAGTAAGTCACGGGTTCTAACCAATTTTCAGATTAATTAATAGGGCTAAGAAAGATAATGGAAGATCTGATTGCTTGAGTTGAATGATCTTGAGAAGCTTTTGATACTATGCCAAATTGTTTGGTAATTATCTGAATATAGAAGTTATGGGCTTAGTTAATGTACAATTCCCATGGGTATCTTTGCTTGTACCCATATATACTTTCTATGATTTGATCAAACCAAAGTTGAAATCATGGAATGTGATAATTAGGCTTCACACCAGGTCTGTAGTTTATCATAGTCGACATTTTTTTGTTTCTTGCTCCTGTTTGTATAGATCATCTTATTTTTGGATTGGTTTGCTTTTGTGTCTGTGCTCGAGTATGACCTAAATTCAAACCATCCTTCCTTGATAAATAACTTCACAAACTTCTTGTATTAATGGTGATCCTGTCTGGATAAGTCGTTCGTATTGAATTTTTTCCACGACTAATATAAAAGTCCCTAATTTTGATCCATTTTATTACTTTTTATTGGGTGCGCATTTTTTTGACTTGTGTGCTTCTTCAACAGGCGAAAAACGTCATTCTAGGCAAACAGAAAGAGCCATACCAAGCCGAGACCTCTACATCACATTCACTCAAACCAAAAACCACACTTCTCGGTTTTAGCAAAGGCGGCATCATACTCAATCAGCTCATAACTGAATTTGCCTTCTCACAATTACCCATGGAACTTCCTAATAAGGAGTCTCAACACATTATACCCACATCAAAGGAACACCTTTTAAACAGCATATCAGAAATACACTATGTTGATGTCGGATTAAACACTAAAGGAGCTTATCTCGACAGTAAAGACGTGATTGACAGAATTTCTGAACGTGTTTCGAAAAGGAATTTTGGAATCAGGTTCGTCTTGCACGGGACCCCAAGACAATGGCGTGACGAGAGAAGGATTTGGATCCGTAAAGAGAAAGATGCCTTGCTTCGGCTCCTTAAGGGAGCCGCTAGTAAGGACGTGTTTGGGAAACTGAAATTTCGAGAGAGGCTGTACTTTCCACATAGGCTTCCCGATTTACAGATGCATTTCGAGATTATTGACTTTATTGATGTGAGTTGACTTGAAGTGTGATGTTTTGGGTTTTGGCTTGATGTTGTCTTGTTGGAAGAAGTTATGAATGTAGGTTGTTGATCTTTGTTGTTTTGGCATGAAAATGTGATGAAATAATGTAGGAATTGTTGGTGCAGGAAAATAGAAAAGAGATACTGAATCACTGATTATGATTTACATTTTTTTTTTTTTTTTGTAAATTTATTTANTACCTATATTGCCCTTGTGTTTATGTTAAAATTTCTTACTGATATATATTTTTTTTTTTTATATGAAGTTCAAGGTTATCCTATATATTCAAGTTATGAACGGGATAAAGTGCAAAAAACTATATGATATTATGGTTGTCTACAAGCCTTTTCTGTACAAAAGCATTGCTAAGAATATAGTTGCCTTTCTGTTTAAGGCTTAAGCCGTGTCTTTCTATTCCTTGCTTGTTGTAATTACTTAACACCAACAAAGCCATTCCAAATGTACTTGCTTGTTTCTTTTTCCTCAATATCTCTATATATACATATATATATGTAGAAAGAAAATTGTTGCTCTTATTACATTATAGATATAAAATTCCCAAGATGGGCATGTTCATGAGTTTCATGGGAAAAGGTGAAATAAAAGAAAGAAAAAATCCTCGATCATTTCATGTTTCATAAGTGATCAAATTTAATTTATTTGTTCCATTTGACAAAATCAATACATTATTCACTTTTATTTGGAAAATGTCAGGCTTGCCTACAACCCAGATGCTGAGCCTGGTGATGGGAACACTTCACAGACAGTTCATAGAAAAAGATATCAAGAGCTTTGAGGAATTCCACATTGCAATTCTTGATATCTTCAGGTAAAATAAGACTAACAAGAGATCATCTTTTATCTTTTACTTTAATTCTCCTAAAAAAAATATGCTCTTGAGTGTGTTTTCAGCACTGTCAACTCAGCACTACCTGGAAAACACTATGATGTTCCCTCACCAAAGGAAGTCGAGGTTCTTATCTGATATTCGCACTCATGATTTCACGAAAAAAACCGTGCCTTT